GCTTTCTGGACGGTCAGCTTTCTTGAAACCACTGACGAAAATAGCGCAAGGCGCATGGCCCGCATTTGGGATCGAGCCCGGTACCATAGCATTACGAAGCGTTCGCAGAGACTTAGCCACAGAACCGACCATGACATTGTAGCAAAGTAAAATACCCCTTTTAACGCGAGTGGCGCATCAGGCATATGATGCTACCTCATATTTGTATAGATCAATCGGCACTAGGTGTGGGATATGGTCAACATCGCACCGACTGCCTTTACTTTCCAAAGCTTTCAATTATACTCGTTAAGGCTTGCTCGACTTGGTAGCCAAGGTCAGTTTTGAAAACAAAAACTCGAAGAGACTTAGAATTCAAGACCTTCGGTCAGGCAGGCTAGCGTCTAGCTGCTACACCAACCCGGTTTCCTTAGTACCTAAGTACTCTAACTAATTTCCGAGGAAACGCCACGCAGCTCCTCTTACCCTGACCAAAGCTCGGAATCCCGCAGTCGGTCGATCGGTTTGTTCCCTCCAGGCTGATTCTTAATGGTTTACTATACTGTCCTGAGATTATTAAGTCTCAATTTGGAAGGCAGGCCAACATGTCATGTTGAATGTTGAATTATAAACCGACATCATAGCACTCAGAACACTTCCATAAGCGCTCCGTCCCCATATTCAGCAGCAAGCGAAGAGTTCTGATTCCTATAGTGTCAGTAGCTGTCTGACCGTATAACCGTCTAGCCTTTCCCTTGAGTGTGGAGCATCGGCCATATCCCCTGGCAAATCCTCGCAGAATCTTCTCAGACTGTAATGACCTGTCTGTGCCTCCGCACTGTTCACTCGCTCCCTGAAGGCCATAACAACATCTAGCTTGTCATACATCAATGAACCCCAAGTGGTGCCGATAGGTTATATTATAAATAAGCCCTTTCGCATCGAAAGAGGTTATATCAGCCTCGAAAGAGGTCGTAATGATGGCACCTATAACCGCTAGACCAGCCTTGTGTGACCTGCAGTCCTTTGCGGTTAACTCGCGTGCTATGGAAGGTCGGTGCCGAAATTTTATGTTTCTAATTTTAAAAGTGCCTGTAAGTAAGTAAGTAAGTAAGTAAATGTTCTTTTTCCACGGCTCCAGACGTATAGGGCTAGACCTATATTTTTATAGACCAATCAGCACAAGATGGATGTGCTCAGAATCACGCTGGCTGCCTTTACTTCCCAGGACTGCACCCGGTTACCACCTAAGAAAACCAGTGCATGTACCCACCATAAGGTATTTAACAAAGGTGCCTGTATTCACTTCACAGTGCCCATTACAGTAGCACCGAAAGAAATGTGGCTCTCTTCCGAATAACGGTCCCAAATGAACTACGCAGACAGTTAATCCAAACAGAGCCTGATTACGTCCTGCGCTACAAACATTTAAAAGCTGTAACTCGGGAAATATAAGGAACGAAAAGTATGAGGGAATTGGGGGAATTCTACTACTTACCGATACTGAAATCCTCTATACATGAAAATTGTGGCACAGAAGTTGCCACCATGGTATGAGTATGGCTTGTACGCGAATCTCGTTCCGGGCGAGACATGATCAGCTGTAATGCGCAGTTTAATGTACGCGCATGTTGCCTCAGGACAACTTCAAACCAGCAGCCGCCAGGATGGCGCTGGTTCTTCCGACAGAAGAAGTAGCTCCTGTAAATTGTTGATTTTTTTCCGGCGACAATAGTGCCACCTCCGAGTGTATCCGCGGCGCGGAGGGGGCTAAACTAGATGGCTAGGACTCACGAGCAAATACATTGGAGGAAGCTGCGGGAGCTGCATAAGCTGCAGCTCGTGAGTCCTAGCCATCTAGCGGCGCGGGGATACTCTCGGAGGTGGCAATATAGTCGGCGATAAGTGGTCCGCAACTTACATTTAACTCGGGCCCGGGGATTGCCCGGCTCTCTAGCGAAGTTGGTTAAACCTGACTTTCGCGGCGACCGGGTGACGAACTCCTTGTGGTCCGGGTTCACTCCCGGGGGTAGGCAGAAAAGCCACATTTCTCCCAGATTAACGGTGCCTATAATGGAATCAAGGCCGAAGGGTTGCGATATCCATAGTACCGAGCCAAAGGGTTTACAACTCATGGTTTCTGAATACGTAAAAAAAAAATAAAAAAAACTCGGGCCCGGCCGTAGGATAGCTCTATCGGGAGTATTCTCGCGTGTCGCTAATTTTTTTCGTCCGCAGTTAATCCTAGTTTTGCCTCTGTGTAATCGCCGTAAAAACATCCGTTGCGTTTCGCGAAAATGTCGTGCCCAATTAATCCTACTTTTGACACGGTTAAATCGCCTCAAAGGAAATACGAATTTTAGATGTGAGTGAGGCTCTGTTTGGGTTAACTGTCTGAGTAGTTCATTTGGGACCGTTATTAGGAAGACAGCCTAAAATGTAATTCCTAAATAGATGCTGGTACTGCGTACGGTTGCGATCCGCCAGAAAGAAAAGTAAAAACAAAAGGGAAAAAATAGTGAAGTTCCATGTTAGAATCCCACAAATTCATAATTTAACACACTTTGTGCAGAATGACTGGAATAAGTCATATTTTGGTAATTGTTTATCCATTAGTTCTCAGTATTTTATTGTCGACCTACACAAGTACAGTTGTCAGATGACATTCTTTGGAATAATGCTAGTTAATATAAACAAATGTAAACAAGCACACATGCACACAGACACCTTTGTATGTAATAAAATGTCTGTAGCCGTAGATGTCAGATGGGCAGAAGAATGAACATGAACGCTGACCTTTTATCCAGCCACAGTTCGACAGCAAACACATGTACACACAATTCAAAATTGGCATATGTGGACTGGCACCTTAGACAACAGATTATATCCTCCAAGAGGTTTGTGGTTTGAACAACGGATCAACTATAACCCATAAGTGCTCCGTACATTCTTCTAACTCAAGTCTAAGTCCGAAGTAGCTCAGCTCTGTAACACCGGCGAGGATCCTGAAAAACTTTGGATAGATTTTTAACTCCAAATTGTTGCCCGGCGTTAGGCTGCTCTTTTCAGTTTCCAACAGCCAAGTAATATTTTTACGTGCGCAACAATGCACACGGACGTCCGTTCTCACTACCCAGAAACCAGGGGAATTACTAGAAGTCCAAGTCCACGTGAAAAAAATATACCTCCCAAGACTGTCCCTGATACGACATTGTCAGGCAAAACTTCTGGCCAAGAGACACATGGGTGGATGCCAAACTTTACGGGCTGCTAAACAAATTAAAAAAAAATAAAATAAACCAAACAAGACAGTAACATTATTACTAGAGACAAAATTGCGGATATAGGTAATATATTTCATGCGATAAAAAAAAAAAAAAAGACGAAGGTCGACAGCAGCAACTCTTCACTTTCTATTAAACATTCAGTCGTGTGCCACTGCTTAATGCCCTGTCGTCTCTTGAAACTCCGTTTGAACCAACGCAAGGCTGTTGTCGAATCGTTAGCAGCTGGGACCGAATCAGCACCACGTAGCTATGAAGTGTGTTCGCCTAAGTAACAGAGTAAAGGATCCTTTCCACACCCGCATGTGTATTAGGCATATAGGACTAGACATTAGCTTCATAGACCAATCGGCAGTGATTTAGTCAACATCACGCCGGCCGCCCTTTTCTCTCGTAACTATAGCTGTTACCAACTCTAGGCTGGGTCAACATGAAGCCAAAGTTGCTTTTGAAAAAAATGTCCGGCTCCATCAGATCCCTAATCCACGACCTTCCGATCCGCAGGCGAGCGCCTACCGCTACACCACGGCGGCTCCCTCTAAGCTACAGACGCCGACTCATTTCCTATACCCACTGCATTTGACAGAAAGATGGGAAGCATTAACATACTATTAGCAGGTGCAGCCAATTTAGGAGACAACTGAAACATTCACAAAGCTTTGGAACTTATATGCTACACAGAATATAAATAGTAAACGTCTTTAGAGAATAAACTGCAACTGAAAACTCAAACAACATTAGAAGAAACAACGTTATAATAGACATATTGGACTTCGCCGAGTCGCCGTGGCGTAGATGCTAGACGCTCGCCTGCGGATAGGAAGGTCGTGGGTTCGCTCCCTGGTGTAGCCGGACTTTTCAAAAATGACCTTGGCTCTCAGGTCGACCCAGCCTTGAGTGGGAACCACGTACAGTCCTGGAAAGTAAAGGCAGCCAGCGTGATGCTGACCACATCACCTATCTTCTGCCGTTGGTCTATACAAAATAGGTTTAGTCCTCTATACGCAATACGACTAAGAGGCGCGGAAAAGGGTCCTTTACTTTATTTATAGATTAGACTTCACACCAGAAGCGATCTTACATCCAGCTGCTGAGATTTGCAAGCGTAGCGTGAACATTTGTTATAGACATTTTTGAAAGTGAAGACACAACATATTCATTCACATGTCTTGATAATATCGATGTCTGAACTGATGCTGATTTTCACAAAAAACTATCTGGTCTTATGTACCTGTTGGAGTCACAATTCATGATGTGTTAAGAGAAAGTTTCGTGCCAGCTAACGGTGCGTAAGTTGAAATAGTCATAAGTCAAATTTATATTTTTCAACACTGTTTGCTTTCAAACGAGCTACACAAATTGTACATAAAACATTAACACACAAATCAATCAATGTACGCATAATTATTGTATATAATGTAAACAATACATAATATGTACTCTACTGCATCGGTTTAGGCATTTTTTTGGTATCATACCAATCTAGTTATCTTTCTTTATTCACTAATCCCCCCCCCCTCCCCTTGCTTAGTGGTAAGTGCGGAGAATATGTATCTGGGAATGCACGAGTAAAAGATACCCTAGGCATGTAATTTCCGAAGGCGGGACGGCTGACATTAAAAGAAGTGACTTTTCGACATGTCGTGATGAGAGCGAGTTGTGCAAAATCCCTGCTATGTGGCGTTGAAATTGAGATCGTTAATATTAACAATATATCTAACACGTTTTATTTCGAAGTTATAAAGCAACAGCTGAAGTATTGTTATGATTCTGTGTGTTTTTCCGAACAAGAGTAGTGTACTCCGTGTAGGACTGAAGATTTATTGGCCTTGACATAGTTGTGTTTTCACGACAACAAAAAGACTTGCAGCAGATGAATCTGTGAAAGATGATTTTAAATTTACTGCGAAAATTGTCACTAAACACGCAGTAAAGTACTGGATTTGCTGCGGAATTAATATAGGCCAGTATTGTTGTGAAGACGTGAAAAACCCAAGTCTTGTCGAATCCAGCGGTGGAAAAAGTGTTGTAGAACAAGAGAATCTGATGCGGAGAGTAGCTGAGGAAGTAAATGGCAACGCTCGCCATCAGCATTTTCACAACCCCTTTTCTTGCTCGAATTGCTTCGTTTACTACTCGCGGTCCTCTGCCATTTGGGCGAGTTGCTGAACTGATACCTCCCGTGTTTCCATGTAGTTTCTCCACACCTACAAAAAGACGTTTGCCGATGACAGTATAACATACAACCTGGATCATTAGTGGACCCAAGTAAAACAACGAACACTCTGTGTATTTAAAAATGCGGTTGTATACTTCGTGTTGACTTCTGTTAGTGTGGAACTGAATAATGCAGAAGTCCTGAGGTGGAGTCTCCGATAACCGTAGCACACGATTGAAAACAGTTGTCGGCGTTGAGCAGAGTCCAGAGAACAACCAAATACATACAATGACGACGAGAACTCTTCTTTTAGTGCAGAATATGTGAGCTTTGATTGGGAACACGATGGCAATATACCTAGGAATAAAGATTTAAAAAAAAACGTGTGACTTTCAATAGGAAACAACCTGGCAATGTACTAAAAAAAAAAGATAATAATGTGAGTTTGAGTAGGGAACACTATGACAATGTACCTAGAGATACAGTTTAAATGTGGATTTTAATCATGAATGCGATGGCAATGAATCTCAGAATAATGATACAGACGTGTAAGTTAGGAGGGGAATGGGGACTGCGACGGCAGTTCACCTAGGAAAAACAGAATACGATTCTGTGTATTTAAATCGGAACATTATTAACTTATACTTAGCAAGAAACATACGCACGTAAGTTTTAATGTAGAACACAGTGACAATATACGTACGAATAAAAATACAAGCGTGAAAGTTTAATGGGAAACACAAATGCAGAGTTGGTAGGAAAAGGGAATAACGTGTGTGAATTGCAATCGTAAACATCATTGCAATATATTTTACAAAGATTGGAGCAGTGTATTTTTAGCTGAATTAAGATTGTAATATATCTGTAGAGGAAAGATAACACATGTATGAGCATAAAAACATAGTAATGATGAAATAATTAAATATAATTAACTAGAGCCATCATGAAACAGGCTTCCCAACTAAGATGAACATTTTAGATTCATAGAAACACAAGTGAGTGTGTGTGTGCGCGCGCACCGCGTATATCTATTTGTGGATGTAGAGACTAGACGTTCGCCTGCAGATCCGAAGGTAGTGGGTTCGAGTCCTGACGGAGCCGCATTTTTTTAAAGATGACCTTCACTCCGATGTTGAGCCAGTCTAATATGGGTGCCAGGTAAAGTCTTTGGAAGTGAAGGTGACAAGCGGCATGCTGATCACATTACACATCAAGTGCCGATTGATCTATTAAAAAAATTACAGAGCTACATGTCCATTACATCTAAAGATGAAAAAAGATCCATGTATATATATATATATAAAAGTTATACATCTTTAAGACCAAACTACGAATCTTCAGTTGTAATGGTATTTAAGTTCTAGCATATGCCAGTGAAAGTTGGAGAATTACATAAGATATGGAAGGAAAGTTAAATGCATTCACAATAAATGTGTGAACAAAAATTATGAAAATAAAATGGGATGAATTAAAAAAAAAAGTGAGATCAGAAAAATGTTAGAACAAACACCCCGATAGAATTGATCAGTAATAAGATTTTTTTTTTTAAATTTAAAGTTAAAAACAAAAATCATTGTAACCCCCCCTCTCTCTCTCACACACACACACACACACACACACACACACACACACACACACACATATATACACACAGATGGGAGCTTAAAAGTAAAGTTTGAAAAAAAAAAGACAGGGGGAGAGCTGCATGCGACAGCGAAGGATAGAACGACTTGGAGTGAGCTGGTTGAGGGTCTATGATTCATTATAGGTTAGAAGGCAGAAGACCATTACTCTTCTGTGGCCCACCTGTTGAAGAACATTAAGGACGATGCAAAGCGGCATGGTGCAACATTGTCTGCGACGGAATAGAACGTGGTATATCGGAGCTATAAAGCCCATTGACAACGTCTAAACCAGAAACGCAAAGCATCAAAATAAAGCTGGTCGTAAAAATAAATATCAAGCGGAAGTCCAGTGTTTTTTTTTTTTTTTTGTATCATCAACTCGTGCGTCCTCCAGTAGGGCTGACGCACTTTTGTCTTTATCGATCAACGTTAGGAGCTAGTCTATTCTTGCAGCGACAATGAGAAGGACGATACATTTACTGTCACCGTTGTTCTCACATTGTTTGTCTTGTAGTCCTTTGTCTTCTGTGGTATACATTTTAATTTACGCGGATAGGGAAAGGTGTAATAAGTTTCAGTGCTCCAGAGTTATAAATTCTAGTGTATGAAACAGAATTCATCATGCGTTTATATGCCCACATACCAATAAATTCCTCCAAAGTTATTCATTTATTCATACGTAAGTACTAAACATCCACCCATCAATCCATGCATCAATCCATGATATATCTATATATATAAAAATCAATGTTTGTGTGTTTGTTTGCCCCCTATAGACTCGGAAACTACTGAACCGATTTAGCTGAAATTTTCAGGATATGTTTGTTTTGATACCGGATGTTAAACCTTCATGGTTTGAAATTCAACCTGTTACTGTTAGAGATAGGAGACCACAATTTAAGCAAAAATATTTGAAACTAATATTTAAATTGTTGGTGACATCTAATTATAGCCACGTTAGTAATTGCGCATGCGCCGTAGTCAGAATGCAAGGCTTCCGCCATTCGCCGGCGAGTTACGTGCAGCCAACGCCGTCTCTAAAAACATAGAGTAGGTCGTGGTACAGCAAACAAGACTATCTCTATATTTGTGTAGGCAGTGATTGCCACAATGACCATATTAAACACAATTTATATTTTCTTGTTTTTTTTTTTCAAACAACCTTCGATGGGAAGGAGGGATGGGGGGCATCAAGGACTATCTCGACGTCAGCGCAGACATTGACTGCGACATTAACTTCATTAACCGTGTTAGACACGTGCGATTTCTATTGTTGTGCCGTTTCATTAATATATCTGGAGTATCTGTCTATGAGAAAACAATTGCCTGCTGTTTTGAGTTGTGTTTTAATCAGACACAGTAGTTGTAGGGTCACACATCTCAATAGTTTAGTTCTCTTTTCGTTACTCCTATAAAGTGGCTGCTTGGTCGAATGGTTACAACACTGGGTTCCTGTGCGGGAGACAAGGGTTCGAATCCGCAGTAGTAAATTTTTTTTTACCCCGGACTAAAATAATATCCTTATCTGCTCGGTCGTGGTGACAGCACTAGCCATGTTGCCCTTAATACTAAAAAAAAAAAAAAAACAGACAATTAAATGGGTAAACTATTTGATAATTAAATTTGACCATTTCGCATACTTATGATTGCATTTTTAAACTTTCCGATTGCATGGTTACGCTGAAATTTCATAGCTTTCCATTTATTTTCATTTAGATTTAGTTATTTCATCTGCGTTGGAATTTTAAGCTGTGCTGTTTACCATAGCGTTCATTTCCTAATTATGGTGTTTTTGTTTCCTGTTTCCATTTGCTTTTCAAGTGTTTTTTTTTTTTTTTCTTCCAACTACTTCAATGAAGGAAAGAGTTGTCGGTGAATTTTTTTGTGTGGAGAAGGGGGGGGGGGAGGGAGGGGGGGGGGGGCAAACTGTTAACTGGGAGAGCATTAAGTCGCAGTAACAGCTTTACCCACTAAAAGTAGCAGCAGCAGTAATAGTTGTGGTTGGGCTGTTACACCGTAGTGCTCTCATGTGAAGACGGCCGGTAAGGTTATGGCGTTCTTCTGTCGGGAGGCGAAATTATACATCCTAACCTGACCAGTCTGTGGCGACAGCACTAGCCATGCGGAACCAAATCTTCTGGCTCACGACTCTGTCTACTCCGATGGTAACACAGATAGCAGTGACATTATTTTAGCTACTGTGGTGGTGGTCGTGGTAGTAGTTTTACTGGTACTTGAAGGATGATGTGGTAAATATTACACTAGCCCTATTCACTACCTATTACTTTTCCTGCTCCCTATTTTAGTCCAGATGGGCAGGGATGTCAATGTCAGTTTCAGCAACAACAAAATATCGCCAGGTAGTGATTTTCAAATCCTTCGAAGAGGGAGAGAGCAGTAGTCGGTGGAAAAGGGGAGGGGAGGGGACAATGACTTAAATTTAAGAGAACTTAAAGAGCTTTACACGTGATTTTCAAGTATTCATTACCTAATTTTTTTATATTTTACTAACGCTACCTCCGCTTTTCTATTTTTTACGACTTACTTTGTTATTTACAAGTACAGTTGTAGCTTTACTTTCGTCCCCTATAAAAATACAAACAGCTTTAGCATGTGATAACCAAATAACCATTTTTGTTACTGTGCTAATAACACCATTTAAACGACCACTAATATAAAGACACGATTATAAGGTGCGTGTTCTAAAGTTGGAAAACCAGACTATCTCTATATCTCTGCAGAGAATGATTGCGACATTAACTATATTAGACACGTGCGATTTCCATTGTCTTTCTTTTCCAAAAACCTTTGATGAGGGAGAGAGTAGTAGGTGGATTTAGGTGTGGTGGTGGTGGTGGTGGGGGGGGGGTGGGCTCAAAGACTATCTCTATATCTGAGCAGACAATGATTGCATTAGACACGTGCGATTTCTATTTTCTTTCATTTCCATTTAGCCAAACTATGCCACAGCAACGCGTGGCCGGGTACAGCTAGTTAATAGATAAATTCACCCATCTATACATCCATCCACCCACACTCAAACACAGACAGTTATGCACGACACATACGTCCATACATACGCACATACACAAATGCAAAATCCATCCATCCATCCAGTTATTCATACACACGTATATCCAGCAGTTCGGTCATCCATCCATTCTAGTGTATGTGTTTAAGACACAAGTAAACAGTTGATCAATAAATATTAATTTAATGAACATCTTTTTCTTCTTCATAAAGTAAATACCGTACGGCGCTGGTAATCATGTCTATCCACAACCTTCTGCCTCGTCTACTTTCAGTCAACTCTAATACAGATGATCATCCATGCTATGATGTCAGACTGTGCAGAATCCCTTCTCTCAGTCCCCCTTTACCTCTCCTCTTCTTCAACTTTCCTACTCTCACAATGTACTCCAATTTTCGCCTTTTCATCACATGACCAAAGAATGTAGATTGTCTCTTTATGATGTGGGCAACATAATGTGGGATACCATCTTAGTTAAAATCTCACACACGAACACACACACACCCACACACACCCTCCTACACACACCCACACACCACCCTACACACACCCACACACCAACACACCCCCCCCACACACACCCACATCTACACACATTCATACCCCCACACACACCCACATCTCCCACACACCCTCACATCCCACGCACGCACGCACCACACACACACCACCCACCACACACACACACACCACACACACCA